TTTCTTTTAAGCTGTCTTCTTCGCTTTCATAGTTTCCCTTGGCTTAGTAGCCAAACGATAGTGTAGTTTATCACATAGCATGTATTGAAGATCGTTCGTATTTTCCAATTGTAGGACAATTGAGGTAACCTCTCCTTCAACTTGTACAATTGTAGACCTGACTCTATCCTTTTATTGATGGAATGCATTTGTATCTTTTGTCATATGTTTATCTACTTGTTTCTTTGAGCAATCTAACTTGTTTTACTTCTTTTGGAAAAGCTTCCTTATTTGTTTGTTTTACGTTAGCAAGGTTATCAATCTTTGAAAAAAAATAACTCGAGGGGCAAGCCCCCAATACTCTAGAACAAGATAGAGTATTTAACTTGTTGGTAAAGAGCAATATTTACCTCAACAGTTAGTAAATGAAGGAAAAGTGATTGAGGTGTTAGGATTTAGCAGTTGTTATTTGCATTATACCAATGAAAGTGTTTGGGAGAAATCTGCAATTAAAATTCAAGAATTAAAAACTTTCAAAAAATTTCATACTCCATAAGCTAATAAATATGAAATCAAATTTATTTCTTCAATCCCATATTTATTAGAATGTTGAAATTAGGTGTTGCTCAGAACGAGTTTTATTTTTTTTCTTTTTCTAACCCAATTTTCTTTCTCTCTCGTCAAATTGCTTTGCTTCTTGTCATTGTCATCGTCTTCGTCAAAGTCGATGTCAATAATAATCTTAATAGTGTATCAAGGTAAACAAAAGATTTGATATTATACATACTTGATTGAGTTTGAACAATTAGCTTCAAGCTTTAATAGAGGATAGAGGAAATAGACAAAGGAGTGAGAAGTACATGAATGCAATGAAACCAAGTGATCATAATCGTATCGTGGAAAATTACATGCAATCACGCATAACAAGTGAATTCTTCAAGGTATTCAAGCCTCCATTAATGGTGGCTGAGAAAAAAATTAAAGAGAAGAAGAGAGTAAAAGAGATACAATAAAAGTAGGAGTAATGTCTGGTTTGTACGGTTCGTACAGGCAGACATGGTACATCCGTTCGGGAAAAAAAAAAAAGGAAAGAACATATTACAAAAATGTAAAGAACATATAGCTAGCTAGAGTAAATTTTAAGTATCTGTATATGTAATATTAAATTTATATATTAATCTAAATATACATGAGACAATTACAAATTTATCAATTACGGGTACTTATATTATCAAATAAAAACAAGTAAAAAATTAATATAAAAACTTTATGTAATAATGCAATTAGTTCATGTTATATACATACAACATTAATTTATATGTCTATTTAACTAAATTTGTCATATTTCATAACTGATTCACAAGAAAATAATCATAAATTTGCTAGAATATGATTTAATTTTATTTTTTTTAAACAATATACTCCCTTCATTTTTATATTGTCTAGTGCAAATGGAATCTATACATGGAGTAATATTTTGAAGATAATTATATATTTCAAAACATGGTCACATGAAAGCTTTTTAGATTTCGTATCTTGATTTTTAGAATTCAAAATTGAATTTTTGAACAATTTTTTAGATAAGTGCTTCGAGACATAGTTATTACAATCACATTAAAAATCGTGATGGATTCTAAATGAGACAACAGATGGGAACGGAAGGAGTATATTCAATAAATTTATTGTTTGAGCATTTTAATAAAAAAAAAACTTATGTTTTCATCATGTTCAACATTTTACACTATTCACACATTAATTTAATCCGCTTTTGATTTATACGTTAAGAAATTCATAGTCATGTTAATTTTGTTAACTTCATTTCAATATATAGTTTCAAAATATCAGTGTTACATGATATATAAATAAAGATATTGGTGATAGGCGAATGTGACACATATAACATTATAAAATTTTCAATTAAAAGAGGATGGTGTAGGCTGTTAAATAGGTCATGTCATGTTCGTGTATGTTAAGCATATTGGAATTAGGTTGATCGGTACGGTTGACGTTCAACCCATTAATATAATTGGGTTGTGCGTGTTAGGTTCACGTTGGCCCAATTACATAAATGGGTCAAGCATTCTTGACCCAAACTCACTTATGCCGGGTCAAGTTATCGTGTTGTGTCAGCTTTTGCCAGCCCATGGTGGGAGTACATGCTTTCAAAAAGTCTATTAAAAAAACCTAACAGAACGAGTATAACACTAACTACTAATTTATTTTACTATACATGCTCTCTCTTATGATATCATATTGTGCTTTACTTGGAAAATAAAAAAAATATATAGATAGTAATGTGAGATGTTGGATTCGTCAAAATTTTATTTTATTATAGTTTAACTTTTATTATATTGTGAGTGGTTGAGATATGCCTAAGGGAAATCAACTTAATTTGGAAAATACTTGTGTGGATCTGGTTCACAATAATATTATTATCGACTTGATCCATACGCGTACAACGGGCATTATTTTGAACATAGTAATCGTAATTTTAACACAGTGACCTTTATATATTAAAACTTGTGTGACCTTAAATATTATTGTGACCTAAAGTGCGCATGCGTTGCCGACGTTATGTTGAACATAGTGACCCTAATTTACAAAGTGACCTTTATTATTTATGTTGACCAATATATTAAAACTTTCATTATAAAAATTAATCTATTATGAACATTAATATAATACAACGATTTTATTTTAACATAGTGGCCTTTTTTTTATTAATAAAAGAACCACATTGTCTCTTATACATTAGTGGTTCACAATAAATTAAGGAAAAATTGTCAAAAATAATACAAACTTTCACCTATCCGCTAAAAACAAGTTGAACTTTCGATTTTTTTTTAAATAATATAAACTTTGTGGGGTATCCGCTTTATACAAGATATTTTACCTACAACCTAAATGGCCAATTATTGGTTTTTTTTTTTTATAATTCATTTCAGAATTTAATTAACTGCTAATTAAAACTTTAACTATAGCCAATTAACAATTAAACTTATTTTAACAACCATTCACAAAAAAAAAAAAAAAAAAAAACCAACCCTCTACACCACCAGCCCCTTTTCCCTAACCACCAACTCTTCCCCCCAAACCCGACGGCGCCAGCCCAGCCACCCTGTTAATCCGCCGTCATCCTCCCCCTCCCTCGGACCACCATCATCGAAACCTCATTACCCTCCCTCGAACCACCAATAATGAAATCCCCTCCCTCCAAATGAAAAACCATGAAAAGCCCTCCTCCGTCCCTAAAATCCTCAACCACGCCTTCCCCATCCTCAAAAACCCTAGCCTTTAGGGTTTAGGGGTGGTGTAAGCGGCAGTTGGGGGTTTTCGGTAGTGGAGAGGGTTATGTGGGTGTTTTGTAATGGGTGGGAGCTGGGGTAGGGAGAGGGAAGAGGTAGGAATGCGGGGGTCGGGTCGCCGGCACAGGGGAGGTGGCTGGTGCGCCGGCTGGAGGTCATAGGAGAGCCGCGTTGGGAAACGTATTGCCGGCAGGGTTGGGATGGGGTGGCAGGGGTTTTTTTTTAAAATTAATTATAATAATAAATATAATTTTATATATTTTAAATATTAAAAAAAAAATTTAAAAATAAAAATCAAATAAAATTGTCAAACCAATCAAAAAATGACATGTGTCCCATATACCTATTAATCAAGTCACCAACCGGTCATAATTTATTTAAAGCGGATGCCCTTCAAAGTTTGTATAATTCAAAAATAATTAAAAGTTCGACTTGTTTTTAGCGAAAGAGTAAAAGTTTGTATTATTTTTTACAATTTTTCCATTAATTAATATGAACCAGGTTTATTTAAGAGTTTGTAACTTGATTTATGTAACAAAGAGTCAAACAGATTAAAAACAAAAAGGAATTACGCATAAATAATTATATTATTTAATTCCAAACCATTGATTCTCTTTTGTACTTCAGTATAGAAATACAGACAAATCTAAAAATGCCCCAAAAGAGTATATTTTTCGTAACGTATAAAATGTAGAAGTCAGTTAAAGAGTGTGTATAAATAACATAAAATCTCAAAGTTTATTTCAAAAAACAAAATATTCTCAAACATTGTAATTAAAAAAGCGTAGGATATAGTGTATATACCAACGAAATTGACACAACACGAACACGGAATTACTGAGAGAAAACAAAAAGTCGAGTCGACACGAAATCAACCCAAACAATACTCGTTTTGATAAAGTGCATTTTACATAATTTTTTGATTTAGTGAACAACACGAAATTGATAAAAGATCGTACACGAATACGACAAAAGATTTTACCGGCAATACTCAAAAGCAAAATGTTGATTTTTTTTTTTTTTGTTTTTTTTTGGTTAAAATAAACATATAAAAAGAATTACATAACTTTAATAGATTTAGTGAACAACACGAAATAGACACGAGACCAAACATGAACACATCACAAATTTTTGGCCCAACTCAAAATCAAAAGGAAGGGCTAAAGTTTTAAAATAAATAATATCAAAGTCACTAGAGTTAAAAAAAATATAAAAAATTAACAAAGAAACAAAAGAAATTCTAAATGCTGAAAGTGTACGCTGTAAGTCAACAATTGGGATTTGGATGGAATTTTGTCAAAACAAATCAATGTAAAATTGCCCTTTTCCACCAAGCCTATTATTCTCCATTTAGTATAACTATAGATATTGCGACCTGTTGAGAGTAAAATTAAATTAGTCAATATAATGTGAAGGTCCACACCTTACTTTTCTTCATTGTAAATTGTAATTAATGTTTGTTTGCCACCCTTTATACCTCATCTTAAGTTAGTAGCCCACAATGTAAAAGTAAATTACCTTACTATAAATAGCCATGCATTCACTTGAATAATGCACACAAATTACATTCTCTAATATTACTTTTACATTCTCTTCTTAATTCTCTACATCTCTAATATTAGTTTTACATACTCTTCTTAATTCTCTTTATATTTCATAACATGACCAGCACTTTCATTATATCAACTTTTAAAAAACTACATCCAAACCCTTGAATGTTAACAGGCTTGCTGATGCGAACAACCCAACAAATCAATCCAAATAATTATCACAAATAATAAACAGAAGTTCTGGGAGTATATCTATATACACAATCAACACTTTCTAAAACAATACTATCAATGCCTTTCCAAAAACTATGCTAGTGGAAATGAAAAACCAGAAAACATAAATGTACATCAAACACCAGTACACCACCAACGAAACTTAAAATTAAGCGTCTCCATAATGATCACCATCTAGCTTATCAGAGCTCAAACTTGGGGGAACAAACGATCTGTAGACTCGTTCGACATTGGGACTTTCCTTCAATTCATGGCATACAACATCCAGAGCTGCATGTTGGAAGAAGCCGTAGAATTTTTTCTTACAGACAACAGCAAAGATTAGGGACGTTATAAGAAGTGGAAAGAGCAGGGGAGTGAAGTAGAACAGCTTTAGTCCAAAGTAACCTATCATGGTAACTTGATAAAGGACTAATGCCGCAAGGAATCGTGCATGCATATGAGGCCACATCCTCCCATAGCTCTCAAATGATGGAACATAAACTTTCAGTGCCTGTCATAAAGAAGGAAAAACTTGTCAGGGATCCACTGTTAATAAGCAATCTTCCTACTTAAATATTATACAAGCAATGGTTTTGATACTATTATTGTAGTACAATCATGGTAATCAGATTCTGGTTCTCTAGTTTAACAGTGGTAGGTGTTGTATCTTGAGGGATCCACTGTTAATAAGCAATCTTCCTACTTAAATATTATACAAGCAATGGTTTTGATACTATTATTGTAGTACAATCATGGTAATCAGATTCTGGTTCTCTAGTTTAACAGTGGTAGGTGTTGTATCTTGAGGGTCTAACACGGATCAATTCAATCAATCAATCAATCAAAACCTTAATCCCATAAGTGGGGTCGGCATTTGAGATGAAATTTTAGGTGTCTGAGTAAAATAGGTTGTAAAATTCTCATGATCAAACACGGTCATTGCTGAAGTGTAGGATTGTAAGAACATATAAATAAAAAAAATAAAAAAAGTAAAAAATAAAAATAAAAAACTGATTCCAATGGCAAGTCATTGCTTAAGTGATGCATTCAAGCAATATTTTACCTGATTTCTCAGGACAAGCCATCCAAGGCCGAAATAAACAGCACCAAAGGGAAGGATTAGGGGTGCAATAACAGAGTAACAAAGGGTAATTGTGAGTATAAGCAAGTCACTAGGAACCCTTGTTGCATATCCAAAATCTCCAGGAGCCCAAGCTTCTTTCACTTCAGCTTCAGTCTTGCAAAGGTACTTCTTTTTTAGATGGAATATGATAAGGGGAATCAATCTAGACAGCTCCAGTCCATACCCTACAAAAAATCTGCACCACGGTGTAGAAACAAATCAAAATCAGAACATTATTATATATTAGTAGGCAAAGAGGTTCGATCCAGTCAATGATTTAGGTGATAAGCTCTGCTACAAATTACTACAATACTCTAAGCTAGGATTCATGTAAAAGTTAAATGATAGCAGATGGCATAATAAGGCAAAGCATAAGCTGTTCTCGTTTTATACTACGTATTTAAATTTGTGAGAGCATTAGAGTAGCAAATCCATTACATATTTGTCAGTGTCTAAGAGTCAGTAGAAAGATGCATAAAACAAAATTTAGTAGATCTACAATTATAGTTAATTAACTTAATTTGTGAGAGCATTAGAGCAACAAACCAATTACATATTCAGATAGCTTAATCAAAGATTAAGCAGAAAGATGGTTAAATACCAAAATTAACCAAAAAATTAAAAATTACAGATTTTCTTAAGTTAGATGTCTGCCACCAACTGTTGGCAAGAAAAAGAAACAGCTAAAGCGGCAAAGTAAAACAATAAAAAAAAACAAGCACTGATTTACCAGCAACTTATAAGAAAAAACTATGAGTATATAAAACTATGTACTTCACAGTCTCTATTTCCTTTTCCCATCTTTTTAAGTAACAATGACCTTACGTATTCTTCATATATGTAAACATAAAACCAAACAAGAATAGGAAACTGCATTGTTTATATGGAAAAATAGGGAAAGAAAGGCAGAAAAAAAAGGTGGAACAGAAATAGAGAAATGAAGAAGTATATCTTACTTGAGTGCCACATATGTCAAGAAAAAGGTTGCATTATCTGGAAGGCCCTTCCCAAGTAAATCAATAATTTTTGTAAAACCAGCTTTCTCTAGATCCTTGAAATTACCAAACAAGGTTCCACCAAGGGTCACTCCAATGAATACATTAAAAACAATGAAGTAGAAATATTTGCCTGAAGCAGCTCTCACTGCATGGCTCTCTGAAGGAATACCTTCCAATTTAGTCAAAAACATGAGTAATTTTGGGAGCAGGGCCAAAAATATTATGAGAGCAAGTTGAGGAAGATAAGCTTCCAATACAGTTCGAATTGGAGCTATATCAACAACAGGTTTTATGAAAGGCATAAGCTTCACAAGTTTCCCCAATGTCGTAAAAGCTGAGATCATTGTTATAGGAATCATGTAAAATACTACCATTAACGCAACGGTAATGTACACAACGTACTTGCGTACTTCCCTCATGTAAAACTGGAGAGAAAGGTTACTCCAAATCAGTTGACGTGGTTCAGGAGCATCCTCTACTGTCCAAGTGTCTCTCATTCTGGCATGTAAATTCTGAGCAGCAGAAGCAGCAGCCACCCTGCTCGAAAAGAATACGAGTGCTGAAGAAAGCTGTTTGTCTCTTAAGGTTACTTTTTGCTCAGTTTCCATCTTTGAGATAAGTTCATTTATCTTCTCGTTGCAGTATTCTATGGTATCCACATTCTTCCCACAAAGACCAAGGAAGCCAATGCGGTTCATTGGTCTGATTCCCTCAGGTTTATCAATTGTTTTTGATTGTGCATAAACTGTTTCAGCACGCACAAGTTGCTTTCTATATCCCTCTAACTCCTCCCACATCTTGTTGACCTGTAAAATTAGAAAAGGTCATGCCATCAGAAGTCACTAGAAATCACTTTGATTATTTGCAGTACGCTCAATAAGAAAAGGTAAGATAGATATTGCAACTAATACTAACAATTAACTTTGATTACCAATTAATTTTTGATATTTATGTAAGGTAAAATCACTTTATAGAATTACAGCCGTACAACTTTGTTTGAGTCTGCTACTACTACACTTCAATGCAACTACAGCAATATAGGTACTGACCAACATATCAAACAAAGTTGTACGGCTGTAATTCTAACAAAATCAAGGTATCTTCAATAACGTATCAAGGTACGGCAATGTAGGTACTGACTAACAAAATCAAGGTCTCTTAATAATAACGCATCATCCAAAGCTTAAGCTTTTCAAAATGGAACTCACTAACATAGCATGATCAATTTTAGAAACTATGATACAATATTAGTAATATTAATACTAAACATACACCTGACTCATCGTTTCAGTAAAAGTAAAAATATCACTAACTATTAAACTTCGTCAGAATGCAGTTTAGTAAGGATAGGAAGAACTGGAAGGAATTATTAAAACTCACCTTTGTATTGTCTGTTACTACCATGGACCTGTAGAACGTATCTGGATAAATGGCCTTGAAATACGAATTAACTTGTTCCTTCCTGGTCTCACCTTCCAGAGGAGGGGGTATATCTCTCACAAGAACGGCAAATTGTTCTGCTCTTACTTCAGATGACATCAGAGCAGTAGCCCTTATTTCAGAAACATGTTTATATGCCTTCCATAAGAGAAAATATGTAACCAAAGAAATCCAGTAGACAGCAATCAAATGTCCCCACAACCTCGGACTTTTTTGCTGTTATAATTGAAGTCAGCTGTTTTTAGAGAGTTGCAGCAATATAGGTACTAACTATAGAGGAAATGAAATATGTAATCAATATTGTGTGGAGATAATTTCTACCAAATGCTATACTTACTTCAATGTGACCCATGGAGAACTTATCAAGCTCACTGAATGTTCCATTGCTGGTGGTGTTATTCTGTCTGACACTGTGATCAGTGATGGAAAGAGGCAAAAGTGATGGAAGCAACACAATGCCAGCCAAAACCATCATTGAGAAAGCTGAAAAACAAGGACATCAACATCAGTAGGTTAGCAGTAGCATCAAGATTATCTCTTGAAACTTCAAGCAAGTGGATATGAACTCAGTACAAATAGAATTGGCAAATGATAATAAATACATCTAATTTGATAGTCAGTCCATTAGACTGGCCATTTAATCAATTACACATATGCATATTGGTAATGATGAAGCAGAATTAGTGATAATGAAATTGAATTTTGTAAAATACACCATATCATCTGAACAAAAGATTATAAATAAAGCAGTCAATTTAATGAATAGGTCACTCAGACTGATCAGCTAATCAATTCCACGGCTCCACCTATGCCTACCAATATGAGAAATGAGTATTGATTATAATATTGAATTGTAAAACACAGCATATATTTGTGAGCAAAAAATGTTGTCACTCGATTTGTGATAATAAGGCGGAAAGAGAGTTGTCCTTAACAGATCAATTACTTCAAAGTTCTCCAGTTCTAATAAACCTTAGTTGTCAATTGTCTAATAACCAACCTTATTGGTCACTTGTCGTTCTTATTGAGACTTGAGTCTTAATTCATTAGGTTCTTAACTAGCTATAACTTCATAAACAAGAACTTCTATATAAGTCAAGCTTTTTCCATATAAGTTTTGTTTATGGTTTGATATTCACTTAAGAAGGCCGGTACCAGTTTGTATCAGCGTCCAAAATTAATACCTACTGGCCTACTGCACTGCAGCAAGTCTGTAGCAGCTACTACATGCCTCTAAAGTTAGCTGCAAGCTCCTGACAACAGCAGCTTTAGCAACTTATGTAAGCTATTCTCAGCAAGCTTAAGCACCTATTGAAGCAGGAGCAACTACAGAAGCTACAAGCAACCCTAGCAGAAGCTAAGAACCTATGGCAGCAGTGCATCACAGCAGCTAAACAGGGCCTACGCAAGCATCAGCGCCAGCAGCTACCATCAAGGAATTATTATTGGGGAGCCCCTATGTAAGATGACACCAGTTTGCATTTAAAAAAAAAAAATTAAAAAAGAAAAGACGACACCAGTTTGTATCTGAGCCCAAAGTTTATACCTACAGGCCTACTGCACTGCAGTAAGTCTGCAGCAGCAATTAAGTGCCTCTAAAGTTAGCTGTAAGCACCTGGCAACAGCAGAACAGCAGCAGCTCATGCGAGCTGAATTTCATGCAGCTGTGGCAACTCTTAAGCACCTGTTGAAGCACAAGCAACCACAGCAGCAACAAGCAACCATTGCAGAAGCTAAGCACCTAAAGCAGCAGTGCATCACAGCAACTAAGCTGGGTGCCTGTGCGTGCATCAGTGCCAGCAGCTAGCATCAATGGATATTCACATCACGGAGATCTTGTTTTAATCGTCCCAAAAGTGTTTTAAAATTATGAAATTATTATAATAATTGCTAATTGAAAACATTAATGGTCAAAGACAAGCATTGATAATATATTCCCTCTTTTTTATTAGGTGAAACGTTCCTTCTAGGCACATATGCTAATTCAAAACATTGGCCAACAATATCATTGATTATCAACAACAACAACAAAACCGTATTCCCAAAATGATTTGGCCAATAGTATCTTTGATTATCATTAAGTAAAACTTATAACAATTGAATATTAAATAAACTATATGATTCCAACTGTTACTGGCAAAATAATATCAAATAATTCCAACTCACGTTTCTCGTTAAACTTCCAACATAAAAATACAAGTATATTACCTAATTCTATTCATATGACAAGTTAGGAAATATAATCTTTGCCAATATGATAGAATTAGCTTCATCTCAACAAATACCTACAAAACTATATTTTTTCAAATATATAAATCACTAACATAGTCAAATTAGTTTAGTAAACAAGTCAAAACGTTTTCCCTTCAAAAAAAAAAAGAAAAAAAAGGGAAAAAAAAAAAAGGTACAGATGGAGTATTAAATATAAAAATAATTCAGCTAAGTTTGAGCAGGGCAAAACTGTATCTTAGCTGGCTTTTTTTTCATTTTTTTTTCTTTTTGAAAAGTTTCTAAGCTGTCTTTAAATTATTACAAAGTATTGAAATGCACTTTACTCGAATTCAATAATTAGCTTGCTTGTGACTGAAGTAATTTTTCTAAAATACAGCAAAACTGCTAAACCAAACATAAACAAATCTTTAACACCGAAACTTGAAGCCGGCTTTGACATAAAAATTGAAAATTGCACATTTATCAAAACAAATAAGACAATCATATACTAATACACATTATTAATTTCTTAAATAATCTTTGGCAAATAAAACAAACTGGGTTATAACTATCTAATACCCAATATATTCATTCATAACAAAAACATTAAAAAAAATTAAAAATTAATAATTATGTAGTACAACTCCTTCAAGAATAATTGTCAATAATTCCAACCAGTCTGTAATTGGCAATTTACAGGGTATTTAAATATACATAAATTAAGAAAGAAAACAAACAAACAAAAAAACCCATTAAAAAAAATACTAAAAAAAAAAATCATACCAGTTGAAAGGAAGACGAAATAGACAGCAGTATCAACACCAGAAACAGCAATAATATCATTTTCAGATGAAGAAATTGCTTCTTTGATCCACGAAATCGGGTTCCGGGTTCTAGAACTCGGTTCCATACCCTTAAGAATACGATTCGGGAAGTATATTTCATGGTTTCCGGGTTTACCCGAAAGCCAAGTAAACAACAACATCAAAATCACAAAAATGATGAAAGAAGTTCCTAAAGATGTTAGAAACGACGCAAACTCCATTTTCTCAGACCTTTTTTTTTTTTTTTTTTTTTTCTGGGTTTGTGCTAGAAGTTAAAGATACTATGATAGTAGTACTAGTACTAGAGAAAAGTTGGCATTTACTCAAAACTGTGTAGATTACGTGTTAATGGAAAGATAGAGAGCGTCGCTTTCTGCAATCAATTGCAAGAGAAAGCGTCGAAAGATTGAGACATTTCTTTTATGTAGAAAAATGACCGTTGATTTTAGGAGGTGAGGAAAACCTATGTAGAAAATTGACCATTGATTTTAGGAGTTGAGGAAAACCGTTAGATCTAAAGAAAATGTAACCGTTATAAACGGTGGATTGGGATTTTGAAAGGTTAGTTAATAAATGGTTGCCATGTTGCAAGACAAGTGTCGAGAATACAAAAGTAATTTTATGTTAGCGAATGAGTAATAATGATTGAAGTTTGAAGATAATGGATTCTAAGGTTCAATAATGAGTTGGTTGGTTGGTTATACGTGTATAGTAGTAGTATGAGAGAAATTTGAGAGGAATAGTAATTTGCTAGATGTGTTATCTATTTTTTGGGTCCATTCTTATGTTGAAACTTGAAAGGTATAGTTTGTTGATACATGAAGGATACCAAGGAATCTTTTATATTCAAGGAAAACTAGGCCAAGATGACAAGTTTTGATTAGGGTTTTTAGGATATGCTACATAAAGGGAAAACTATTTATTTTCATGAATTTGGAGTATGAAGGTGTAAGGTTTTGATAACGCTTAACTTATGAAGGTAACATAGATTTTATCACCACGTTTGTGAAGTTAAACATATAAATAGAGACGCACTTTTTAAAATATCAATCCCAAAAAAAAAAAAAAAAAAGAAAGTCAGCATATGTTTGTTCTAGTGAAAACATTTTTCAGAAAATTAATATTAATTTGATAATTTTTTTTTTTTTTGGATAATATATGTTGGCAAACAATTTTCATAAAGATGGAAAATAGCTATATGTTAAGAGTAGAAAACATGTTTCTTTTTAAATTAAGATATAATATGTTACATCTTCTGCTATAATCATAACATTTAGGGAATTTCTCATTGGTAGTCCTACACTTTTGACTTTTTCATTGGTAGACAATTTCTTTTTTCGATTAGCAATGGTAGCCCTGAACTTGTACTTCCTCCGTATCTTTTTAGTTGACATGTTTCTTTAGTCACGTTTGCCAATGCACAACTTCAACCGTTAATATCTATAATTACCAATAAACAAAAATTATAAAAAAAATTGATATTTTGAAAATTATATATCATGACGAATTTAACAAGATTCCACATGACTATATTTTTAATTATGTATAAAGTACAAAAGGCAGTCAAAGGGGAGTGAGTGAATAGTGCTAAAGTCAAAACGTGTCAACTAATAAAAAAAACGGAGGTAGTATAATTTCTCAAACATGATCATAATGACGATTTTCTATTAACACAAACTATTGGGTGTGGACTTTGTGCGGGCAACCTATTTACCCTTCAAACACAATTGAAACTTAACCATTCATTTCAATTATCAAAGAGAACTGAGATTTTAGAGCTCACAATTCACAGAATAACATCATAATGCTTGAATTGGCCAACCAAATCGTAAAAAATGATTTATTTTCTGATTGAATTGAAGATGACGATGACGACGAATATGAAGGTGACGCGGTTTTGCGATTTGTGGCTGGTGGTGATGCGATTGCGACTGATGGCTAGTGGTTAGCGATTTGCAATCTGCGGTTGGTGGCTGGTTGTTGGCAATTTGCGATTTGCCGGTTGATGGTGTCTGGTGGTAGTGCTGCGATGTTGGAGGTGGTAACGTGGCATGAGGTTAAGATCGTGGGTTACGGCGGTGGCTGGTTGGGTGGTGGCGTGAGGTTAGGGTGGTGGCTGGTTAGGTGGTGGATGGTTGGGTGTGGTGTGAAGTTAGGGTCGTGAGGTTAGGGTGAGTGAGGTTATGGTCGTGGTTTGTTGGGTCTTGGGTGGGAGGTGTCGTGTGAAACAAAGAGAAAGGAAGAAAGAGGAGAGAAGAAGAAGGAGAAAGAGGAGAGAGAAAGAAATATATATAGTAGTATCATATTAGCTAACAAATAACTTATATAAGCCAATTGATGTATGATGTCAGTCAACATTAGGGACATATCAGATACTAATAAAAACGTATCAGTCAACAAAAGGAACTTATCAGCTAACAAAAGATATCAAGGATTTATGTCTTCATCAAGTGCAATTACTAAATATATCAACGGTCACTATTATGGAGATAATTAGTTCATTCTTTTGGGTTGTCATCGTCTGTTACTAGATATGATAAATGATCTTTGGGCTAGTCAAATAGTCCCAAAGCCCAATAGAATGGATCCTATGAGGTCACACACAAGGGTATTGGATTGAACAAGTATGAATCCCATTAATGGGTCTCATGAGGTAATGACAAGCCACGTAAGGAGTATGGCTAGAGTAGCACTAGTAGAAAAAACTAATTTAGAAGCGGTTCAAACCCCCTAATTGGAAGCGGTTTTGAACCGCTTCGGTTTGGGGGGCTTGCCATTGTCAGTTAGAATTGGAAGCGGTTTGGCGCCAAATCGCTTCCAATTCCCATTTTAAAAAAACAAAAAATTCTACAATTGGAAGCGGTTTTGGCGCCAAACCGCTTCCAATTGTAGAATATTTTTTTTAATTTTTTTTATAATTTATTACTAATAATATTAATATAATAATAGTGACCTTTCACAATAATTTCAGTATTATTAATTAATAGTAAAATAATATTATTAATCGATATAAATTTCCACCCAGAGAACATGGTGACAAAATGCTAAGCCGAGATATTCCTTAAAATCGAAAAAGAGACATACATTCACTACCTAAGTGAGATTACACGTCCAAGAACAGTCCCAACCGGGGACTATTCAAGACTTCCTCCTAACGAGAAAGACTCGAACGGGTATCTAGGCAAATGATGATGCAAGCATTCAATAATTTGCATTTGTTTGACATTTAACAAAACACAAGTTCATTCATTCATATAATGCTAATTGGACTACCTACAAGCAAACTAAGCTTACTTACAATCCATTCATTAATTCATCACTTTTTAGCTACTCAAATTCAAACAACTTATAACATTATACAATTAAGGTAACAATTAACATTTTGTATACAAATAATTAACATAAAATTTGATTAACTAAAATTGAAACCCTAAAATTTGGGAAATTGTTAACAATATATAGATAATGAAGTAAAATTAAGCATGAACTCACCCTAAAAGAAGGAATGTAGGGTGAGAGGGAGAGGTGTGGTGGCCTGGTGGTGCGTGTGAAGGTGAGAGGGGCAGCACGTAGAGGGTCGCAGCAATGGAGGCAGAAGGGGCAACACGCAGAGGGACGCAGCAGCACGACGCAGGGTGACTGTAGTGGAGGCGGCGACAATGCTGCAGCAGCACCCTATGGTGGTTGTGGTGGTCGGAGCAGGAGCAACAATCCCTATTCCTAACAACACAAAAACGTGAAGCACGACAATGGTGCAAGCACTCAATGAACGAATTGAAGGTTGTTGTTGTGGTGGGTATTAGAAGCACGACAATGGTGCTTGTGGGCTGCTGTGTGACGGTGTGTGAAAGTGAAAGAGGAAGCGAATTGAAGGAGGGAATGAAAGCAGCAGGAACGAATTGATGAAGGAGGGAATGAACGAAATGACGAGGGAAGGAAGAAAGTTTAAAAGCCGGTTTTTTTTTTTTAAAAAAAAGGAAGCGGTTTGAACAACTTCTAATTACTTTTTAGAAGCGGTTCAACCCAAACCGCTTCCAATTCTCCTCTTGTTTTTTATTTTATTTTTAATTTCCCGGGTTTTTGTATGGAATTGGAAGCGGATTCCAATAACCGCTTCCAGTTAGTGGCTTCCCATTACCTATTTTCTGCTAGTGTAGTTAGAATTGGGTTAGGAGTTTGGGCTTCACATGGACTCTAATTATACATGTGATATATAAATAGAGGTCATGCCTAGGGTTGACATACAAGTCACAATTAACCTAAGCAGTGAATTGTGAAGCAAGCAACCAACTCCCAACCCCTCTCTCTCACACACACCTCTCTCTTCTTTCCCCCTTGTCCGTACAGTACGGACACCGGCACACGGTGGACGCACGGTGGTGGTGGTGGTGGTGGTGGTTCGTGGCTCGTGGCTCGTTTGTCTCCTTTCTACTCCATAGAAGGTTGATTAAAAGGGTTTAATCACGACTAACTAGCATTAGTGGAGGTTCAATATGTGCCCGTGGACTAAGTAGAGGAATCACACTTGGGGTTCTTGTTCTCCTATTGTTCTTGCTCGATCACACGTGAAATCACGCTTCAAAGGTACAATTATATGTTCTTTACGTGTTGTGCATTTATCTTAGTTATTAGATGCTTATGAATATGATTCATGCAATTCCGCTTAGAATATCTAAAGTCCTACAATGGTATCAGTTAGCCTTATGCATGTACACATATTGATATTAATTCTTTGTTGTCCCCAAATTTTAATTCAATTAAGAGGGAGAACAATTTAATTATTGGTCAATTATTATTATAGATGTGATTTAACATATGGAATCATTAAAAGTTGTTTAATTCGCTCGAAATTAGCCTAGATTTGGACAGAATTTTGCCCCTAATAGGTTCGAAAATTTCGACTCCCAACCCTATTTTCGAGAAATCCGAAAACCCTAACCCTAAATTTTGATTTTGTGTTTTGGTTTTTGCATAATTTAGAATGTTTTCTGTTTCATGAATTTAATTTATTTCATTTCATGTATAAATTGTGAATTTTGCATGATCAAATTATTTACTTTAAGTGTTAAATTGAGTTGGGAATTAATTTCATGAAGAACCCTAATTTTAAGATTAAAAGTGATTTAATTTTAAAATTAATTGGACCAATTTAATTTATTTTAACAAAGGGTTGTTTTAATTAATTTAAAAAATAAAAAAAATTATTTTTGGGGCTGTTTTGGGAGACAACCGCGGCTGGGTAGCGCAACCACAATGGCTGGTGAAAAGAATGGTGTCCTTCGAACAAGTGTATTATTCCGATAGAGGCTTTAGAATTAATTAGAAAGCTAATTATTCAGTGAGGTCAAGTGTGATCGGAATGCCTAGCTGGAGGCCGCTTTCGATCAGTAATATTAATGAATAATTAATATTCCAGCTTAGTTTTGACTGAACCCTTTGGATCACACCTAATCGTGTAACCGAACCAAAACGACGCAATCTTCATCGATACCGCTTGGGGAGTCGTTGGACAATGTTTTGCAACCCAATTCATTAGACCCTCAGCCGGCCTTTATGCCGTTTGAGGGATCTTTGGGCAAGCTTCCTTGATACCGCCTGGGGTATCTTTGCGCAAATTTTTATGATACCGTTTGGGG